AATTGACAGCCCCCTGCCCCCTTTCTTACATTTTAATGAGAACTGAAATAGAACTTGAGCTGTGAGTTTCCTGTGGAGTTCTCCTTCATGCTCCTAAATTGTGTGTAAAGTTTCAGATACTGGCAGTGGCATGGGCATATTTGTGCTTAGGTTAAAAAACAGAGCAAAGAAAAAATAAGATTCTTCTCAAAATTAGAGAACTGCAGAGGAAAATCATATCAATATTCCTCGTCATTTAGATCTGACCTTTGTGTTATCTGGCTTAAATTGCTAGCCCTTTGCAGGCACATTTCCGCAATCACTATCAACCACCTAAGTGCAATATTTATTTATTATTTGTAAAGCTTTGGACTGGATAATATGGAAAAAACATTAAAAACTTTTCAAAACAATTTGAGAATGAGCTTACTTTTCTCAGCATTATTTGTGTTTGCATAGATTGTCTTTACTGTGTTTACATGATTGATTAAACTTTATATTAACTATTTGTCAAAAAAACAAACAAAACACAGGGACTGCCCTTCTGGTGTAGTGGTTAAGAATCCACCTGCCAATTCAGAGGATATTCGAGCCCTGGTCCGGGAAGATCCCACATGCTGCGGAGAAACTAAGCCCGTGCAGCACAACCACTGAGCCTGCGCTCTAGAGCCCGCAAGCCACATCTAAGGAACCTCAGTGCCACAACTACTGAAGCCGGTGAGCCTAGAGCCCGCGAGCAACAACTACTGAAGTCTGCGTGCCTAGGGCCTGTGCTCCACAACAAAGAGAAGCCACTGCAGTGAGAAGCCCGTGCACTGCAACGAAGAATAGCTCCCTCTTGCCTCAACTAGAGAAAGCCCACGTGCAGCAACGAAGACCCAATGCAGACAAAACAATAATAATAATATTTTATAAATATTGTTTTTGTTTTTGTTTTGCGATACGCGGGCCTCTCACTGTTTTGGCCTCTCCCGTTGCAGAGCACAGGCTCTGGACACGCAGGCTCTGGATGCGCAGGCTCAGCAGCCATGGCTCACGGGCCCAGCTGCTCCGCAGCATGTGGGATCCTCCCGGACCAGGGCACGAACCCGTGTCCCCTGCATCGGCAGGCGGACTCTCAACCACTGCGCCACCAGGGAAGCCCCATAAATATTGTCTTAAATAATAAAACACTGGGGGGATTCCCTGGTGGTTCAGTGGTTAGGACTCTGCGCTCTCACTGCCGAGGGCCTGGATTCAATCCCTGGTCCAAGAACTAAAATACCACAAGCCGCGTGGTGTGGCCAAAAAACACAAGAAAGCAAAACCAAAAACGAACAAACAATCAAAAAAACTGGGGGCTTCCCTGGTGGCACAGTGGTTGAGAGCCCACCTGCCGATGCAGGGGACACGGGTTCGTGCCCCGGTCCGGGAAGATCCCACATGCCGCGGAGCGGCTAGGCCCGTAAGCCATGGCCGCTGAGCCTGCGCGTCTGGAGCCTGTGCTCCGCAACGGGAGAGGCCACAACAGTGAGAGGCCCGCGTACCGCAAAAGAAAAAAAAAAAACTGGGTTCATGGGGCCAGACCATGTGAGGTATCGCAGGTTCTGGAAAGGAGTTTGGAGAATATTCTAAATGCAATAGGCCACCGGAGGGATTTAAGCAGAGATATTACATAATTATATTTTCTTTGGCAGCCATGTAAAGAACAGATTGTAGGGAAGGCAAGATTGGAATCAGGGAGACATGTGGCAAAGGTTCTTGCCTTTCTCCAGAGGTGACAAGATAGAAGGTGGGCAGGGCAGTGGGGGTGGGGAGAAAGCCAGGCGTTGCATTCCAGACATTGTTTTGAGCGCAGAAGACTAAGTATAGATTAATGGTGATTTTATGTACTGGAAGGTAGGTTTTTTTTAAAATTAATAATTAATTAATGAATTGGCTGCACTGGATTTTCATTGATGCGCGCGGGCTTTCTCTAGTTGCGGCTAGTGGGGGGCTACTCTTTGTTGTGGTGCGCGGGGTTCTCGTGGTGGCTTCTCTTGTTGCGGAGCACAGGCTCTAGGCACGCAGGCTTCAGTAATTGTGGCACACAGGCTCAGTAATTGTGGTGCACGGACTTAGTTGCTCTGTGGCATGTGGGATTTTCCCGGACCAGGGCTCGAACCCGTGTCCCCTCCATTGGCAGGGTGGATTCTTAACCACTGCGCGGCCAGGGAAGTCCCTTTTTTTTTTTTTTTTAAATATCTTTATTGGAGTATAATTGCTATACAATGGTGTGTTAGTTTCTGCTGTATAACAAAGTGAATTAGCTATACATATACATATATCCCCATATCCCCTCCCTCTTGCGTCTCCCTCCCACACTCCCTATCCCACCCCTCTAGGTGGACACAAAGCACAGAGCTGATCTGCCTGTGCTATGCGGCTGCTTCCCACAATTTTACATTTGGTAGTGTATATATGTCCATGCCACTCTCTCACTTCGTCCCAGCTTACCCTTCCCCCTCCCCACGTCCTCAAGTCTGGAAAGTAATTTTATAGAGCATAATTTTCAATGTTCTGTACATAAAGAAATGACATCAGTTTGACTTCTCACCAAAATGTTTTGAGTAAGGTAGGTCTTGAGACTAGTAGGAGTAGAACCGTATCAGTAACTGTATGACAATGAAAATACATAATAACAGATGCAATGACCTTTGCTGAATTTTATCCCTACTGCACACATTTCATAAACATTTAAACATAAAACAAAGTGTGTATTCATGTTTTTACACTTCTATAAATGATTCACCCAAATGAATGCACATTTTTCCCCATGGGCTACACATACTAAAGAATGCATTTCTGAATTTGAAGGGGTTCAAGCTGTGGACCTCAGTTTGCATTGGCCAGGAGGAATGGTTCTGTGAAATCCACACAAATAACCAAGGATAACATTGGTTGTAAACAAATGCAATGGTAATGTTTGGGTGTTGGGACCAGAAAAATAGTTCTTTTTTTCCCCATTGTCGTGTATGTTTCTAGAACATTTTAAGTATGGGTCTGTTTTACAATAAAGAATAACAAACTTGGACTTCCCTGGTGGCGCAGCGGTTAGGAATCCGCCTGCCAATGCAGGGGACATGGGTTCGAGCCCTGGTCTGGGAAGACCCCACATGCCACGGAGCAACTAAGCCTGTGTACCACAACTACTGAGCCTGTGCTCTAGAGCCCGCACGCCACAACTATTGAAGCCCGCGCACCTATAGCCCGCGCTCTGCAACAAGTGAAGCCACCGCAATGAGAAGCCCAAGGACTGCAACAAAGAGTAGCCCCTGCTCACCGCATCTAGAGAAAAGCCCGTGTGCGGCAACAACGACCCAATGCAGCCAAAAATAAAAAGGAATAACTAAAAAAGTGACAGTTAACTCGGAGTGCTTTTGCAAACTTTTAAAAGGCCCGATCTATTTTGTTTTTATATCAAATAATTAGAAATAATATATAAACTAGGCTTCGAATTCATACCCGTGGTCTGTAATCAGAAGAGAAAAAAGTGAGGAAGGAGAGTCAGGAGAAAGGGTGAAGAACCGCAAGAAGTGGGAGAAACGGGGAACTCGGCAAAGGAGGGCTAGCTTACAGGTAATTCTCCACGACGAGTGCCTGGCCTCCTCTCTGGTTTTCCACAGCTTCTCTTGCCCTTTAGAACACTTTCCCCAAGGAAGTCGAGGGAGTGGGGAGGTGACTTGTTACAATACAAATCCTGTCCAACCTCTCGTTTAACACCCCTCCAACAGTTCCCAGTCACCGGCAGAATAAAATCACAAATCCTTTAACTTGGCCCAGTTTGCTATCTTTCGGAGCTTCTGCTATTCTGGCTACCCTCGAGGATCCTTAAGGGCAGAGCCTAGCTCCTTCCTGCCTCAGGTTCTTACAGGCTGGGTCCCGGACAAAAACCAGCGACTCCTCCCTAACCAAGCTTTTCGTGGATTTTTTCTTCCTGGGCCTCCGCCTCCCACTTTTCCCTCTCCCTTGTTGATTTTTTTTTTTTTTTTTTTGGAGCGTTTATTTCTGTGATTAGACATCTATTAGTGTGCATTCATTCACATCTTTTATCCAAAAGTCTGACCCTCATCCCTCTATAGTCAGGCCGGGTCGGTATGGTTCCTGCAAGGTTCCCAACTCCCTGCACTATGCTCGGCGCACAGTAGGCGCCTAGTGATGACTATGTTTAGGTCAATAAGACAGTCAAGGCAAGCGGCATCTGAGTCGGGGGAGAATCTCCAATGCAGACAAAAGGGCTCCCTGAGCCCAGGGCGGCCTCTGGGGCGCTGAGGCTTAGGTCCTTCCTCCCCTCCCCC